AAATCTGTTGCATTTCTATGCACCAATAACAAACTATCTGGAAGAGAAAAGAAAACAAAATGAAACAATCCCATTTACAATTGCATCAAAAAATACCTAGGAATAAATTTAACCAAGGTTGTAAAAAACCTGTACTGTGAAAACTACAAGATGAAAACTGATGAAAGAAATTAAAGACACAAATAAATGGAAGGATAAACAGTGCTCATGGATCAGAAGAATTATTACTGTGACAATGTCCATACTACCCAGAGCAATCTACAGATTCAATGCAATCCCTACAAAAATACCAATGTCATTTTTCTCAGAACTGAAACAAACAACCCTAAAATTTATATGGAACCACAAAAGACTCTGAATAGTCAAAGAAATGTTGAGAGAGAAAAAAATTGGAGGTACCACACTCCCTGATTTCAAACTATCCTACAAAGTTATAGTAACCAAAGTTATAGTAACAGTATGGTAATTGCACAAAAAACAGTCACATTAATCAACGGAACAGAATAGAAAATCCAGAAATAAATCCACGTTTATATGGTCAATTAATCTATGACAAAGAAAGCAAGAATACACAATGGGGAGAAGACATTCTCTTTAATAAATTTTGTTGGGAAAACAGATACATGCAAAAAATGAAACTAGACCACTTTCTCACACTAAAAAAAAAAAAATCTAAAAATGGATGAAAGATTTAACTGGAAGACCTAAAACCATAAAACTCCTAGAAGAAAACATGCAGTAAACTCTTTGACATTGGTCTTAGCAATATTTTTTGGATATGTTTCCTTGGCCTAGGTAACAAAAGCAAAAACAAACAAATGAGACTAGATAAACTAAAAAGTTTTCACACAGTGAAGGAAACTATCCACAGATGAAAAGGTAACCTAGTGAATGGAAGAAGGTATTTGTAAATTATACTAGGTGTACCAGTTAATAATGCGGATTTTTTTTCAATAGATGGAGTTACACATATGTTGATATATATGCAATTTTATATGTATGCTATTTTCTTGTATTGACAGCAAGCTTCAAAACTTCATATGTCAAATTTGCTGAAGGTGTTTGCTGGGGTCCATCCCCAGCAGGTCCAGGGGTCCCCAAAGGTGTGGACGGAGTCGGCGAAGAAGGAATGACA